TAATAAGATCGAAGAATATAAGATAAATAGCATAAGTCAATTTTATTTCTATGTACTAGCTATATAAAATGCAATTAGAAATAGAATTCTAAAACAATCTACACTAGCATCAGAAAATTTGAACTACCTATGGTTACAATGGACATAGATATGTAAGACCCACGTCTTGAAAACCACAGAACATGGCACAAACGTGTTCTGTGGTGAAAACCATGGCACAGACATGTAAAACTTTACAAAAAACTAGATCGACATCCTGCTGCATTCTCAAGCTACTTTTTTTTTGCTATTTTAATGTTAAATATTAATAAACAATGCATTCACAGCTTCAAATATCAATAAATAATGAATGAGGCTAGTGCTATCTACCATGACAGAAATTCATGCTAGAAACTCACTCACTCACTGCGATCTAGCTGATGTTGACTCACGGGGACCCTACAGGACAAAGTAGAACTGCCTATGAGTTCCTGAGACCATAACTCTTCACTGGAGTAGAAAGTCCTGACGTTCTACTGAGGAGCAGCTGCTAGTTTTGAACGAGTGTCCCTGAGGTTAGCAGCCCAATGTGTAACATTACACCATCAGCATTCTTTCGTATTAGAAAGAATTTTCAAAATGTAATAGATATGGGAATTTTTCAAGTCAACACATAATTCAGTTAGGTTTAATTTTTCAATAAATACTTGGGTGACAAGCATCCTATAATACAATGGGTAAATGAAAGATGCAGTGTCTAATTTCATAGAGTCACTATCTAGTAGAGAGAAAAATGAGCAAACAAACAAATATAAATCATATACAATGTATAATCAGTGCCATAAGAGCAATACAGAACAAAAAACAGGTGGTAGGCATGCTATTTGACTTAGAATATGACTGATAGAATGTGTAAGTGGACATTTAGACCCAAACCTGAGGAATCATAAAGAACCAGCTAGATGAGGGAATTTTGCAGTAGCCAAATGGGACATTTATGAAGATCTTGGGTAGAATAGATGGGGGTAGACATGTTCTAAAATCCAATATTATGTCCACTTGGCTGGAGTTAGAAAATATGGAGTACAGGGAAAGAGACCCTATTAGTCATACAGAGAGGTCAGTGGGGGAACAGATAATGTAGATTGTATTCAAAGTATGATGGGAAGCCATTTCACAGTTTTATCCAGGTGACTGCCATTATATTTTAATTTTTTAAAAAAGATTACCCTTGATGTTCTGGTGGAGGATCAACTGGAAATAACAGTCTAAGTAGCCATACCCCTCTTTTCATAAACATAAATACTAAATAAGACCTAGTACTAAAAAAAAACATACATATATCAAACTTAGATGCAGAAAGTAAACCCGAGGGCTGAAATTCTGAAGCATATGTGAAGATAAGATCCCTGAAATAAAATTCAAAGACAGGAAAGGATTATCAAACAGATAACCAGATCAGAACAAAACCTTAGCCTACTGATCTGGGAAGGGAAAGCAATAAGGGACCCTGCTATTTATAATATTAAGCAGGTATATTCTTTTTTTTTAGGCAGGTATATTCTTAAATTACCAAAAAAAAACTGGCACCTGAGGCCTATAACATATATGAGGGTGGGAACCAAATTTATATATTACAAGCTGGAAAATGTTTCCTGAAAATGACTTAGGGCAATTGTAACTTTTAAGACCCAGCAAAATCATTCTGTAGAGCAAGGGTGTGGAATGTCTGGCCCAATAGGTGTATATGGTCCACAGAATTATCAATACCAGTTAACATCACACACCTCACTGAAGAGAAGCCATTCCAATCATCACATTCAGGGTGAGTTAATTAAATGATCAAATATAGTAGGCTCACTTTTCAGTTGATAATTTCATATGGCCTGTGAATGGCGTTACGATCATTCAAATGGCCCTTGGTAGAAAAAAGGTTCCCTGTCCCTGCTATAGAGACAAGCTCTTAACCAGGCCACCTTAAACACTCCTACAGAATAAAAATCTCTTTAAAGATAAACCCAGAAAATAAAATTTACTACCATGGAGTCAATTCCAACTCATAGTAACCTTATAGGACAGAGGACTGTCCTATAGGGTTTCTAAGAATGACATCTTTACAGTAGTCTGCCACATCTTTCTCATATGCAGAAACTGAAGAAAAGCTCCCAATAAAACCTTATACATTATTTGAAGGAACTAGTCACCATGAACGAGTGCCAACAGAAACAGTATGTGGAATCTTACAATCTGGAAATTATAATTTTATATAGATGAATTTTATTATCTTTCACTTTATTTTGCCAATACTTTGGTTTTCTTTCAAGGCCAATACAAAACCTTTAAACACCATAATTTCCAATGTTGTTAAGATTACTAATTCTTGAAACTCACCCAAACTGAACTAAAGAAAGTTTTTGTGTAAAATTCAACATAGGGCAGATAAGGTAGTTCAACATTACCAAGTGAGCTACATGACTACTGCTATCAATGGGAAACTGCACTGAGTGAAAGCCTTATCTTATATCTAGGGCTAATCTATACTTTTATTACGTTTTGTCTATGTTCAAAAACAGGATGAAATGAGCCCTTCAGTCTTTCTGGATAGCATTTTAACTTTAAAATGTTATAAGAAATGCATCCACATTTACAATGGAGTTTCTATGGCATCCCCAAGTTTTAAAAGCTCAAAACTTACAAGGAAAAATTCAGAATTTCATTTACCTTTTTCTCACCTATCTAATTTCATTTTCCTTTCAATTCTCTTCTTGGGTATGGTTTGTAGGCAATCTTAAAGTCAGAGACACTTGCTATGTGTAAACAAACAGTCTACAAATGGAGCCATAACTCCTTTTTAAAGTCTTGTCATACATGTTGAATTTTAAAAAGCTTCCTTTTCTAATAGCAGTTCCTCTAACCTCGATGCTGATCTAACCTTGATGTTGATCTAATCTTCTACCCTAAATAAGACATTCCTTTTTCTGAGGTCCATCAGGTAGAGAAAATACAGTCTATCTAAAGGATCTCTAAACTATGGTCAAACAGGTGCCAAAATGTGAATGCTTATACAAAACGTAACAAATGCTGGTGAGGCTGTGGAGAGATTGGAACCTTCAGACACTACTAATGACACTGTAAGTATGCGCAACCACTGTGGAAAATAACGTGATGCGACCTCAAACAACCAAGAATAGAAATTCCACATGACGCAGTGTGGCAGTTGCATAATCTGTCAAATTGTGAAGGAGTAGAGTCTAAGCTGTCAATCAGGTTGCAGCTTAAAGACCTCAGTTGGAGGTGCGACAGAGATAAATAGCTCACTGAAGGCTAGACACACTCTCTGCTACACATTCGTGTTGACAAGCCATATGGAGTTGTGCTGCAGGCAAATTACAAAAAAAAAAAGTAAAAAACCCCAAAACTTAAGGTACCACCGTTAACACTGTTTCACATTGTTATATTATCATTAAAATACATTTTGAGAAAAAAATAAAAGATGTGAAAGTTTGTGCTATAGGTTGTTAATACATAGCATTATCAACAAATCCTTATATTAGCCCCCAGACAGATTAAAGAAGTAATTTTACTAATTGGCATCAAGAAAGAAAACCTGTCCTGCCTCTTTCCAGGGACTACCCTATAATACACTGAAGGACCTTTAACCAACCAGGTAACACCAATTATGTTAAATTCCTGCTTCTAGATATTCCACCTTTGTCTCCACTGATGGTCTTTTAGCCAATTATGATTTTGTAGTGTTTTAGTTGTTCCTCAAACTATACAAAAGTGTGTTGTTGTTTTTTCTCATTAAGGGGTGGAGGGTATGGAGTGGCCAACACCATCTTTATCCCTCAATAAACATTCTAGTGTTGGTCTACAAAATACTTATCTTCCAGTCTATTTCAATTTGTTGAAGAACAAAATTACATATTCCAGCTAAAAGTCACCAACGATGAGTACAAGAATAAGGAAAATGTTCTAAAATGGATTGTGATGGTGATGATTGTCCCACTCTTCTTGATGTGACTTGTGAATTTTATGCTATGTGAATTATATGCCAGACTGTTGGGGGGGCAGGGGCTACACCTGAGATTTGCAAATGGATGGCCCCTCAAAAAATCAATTAAAAAATGCAAAGTGAAAACACATGGAAAGGGCCTCTCGACGCTGTATGCACTTTGGCAAGCCTTGAGTCTTCCAATCTCTGCAGATCCTAAAGGGAAAGAACAGAAGGCTTTGAGAGGGTGACCGTCCACAGCTGAACCAGAACCTCCAGATCAGGCTCCAGGCAAGAGGGGAGTGCGTTCGCATCTCTAGATCCTTCTCGATATAAAAACAGGTAGGAGGGGAAAGGCTAATAAGATCTGTTCAGAGAAAGGCTGCACATTAGGGAAAACCATTCGCTAAAGCAACAACCCACACAGAACACTAATCTGTGGGACACGATGGCTCTGCAGCGAACCCGTTAACTGTACAGGTTTTCGGTCCCTTTGGTGGATGTCAGCCCTCTTAAACATTGCTTCGTAAATAAAGACCGATGGCTTGAGATACCACGGAGAATGGCCGCAGCGCAGTTGACTCCTCCAGTCGAACACCTGGCCCTGACCACGGCCGCCCCCCAGGCCCCGAGCCGCCGCCCCAGCACAGCTCCGCCCACGAGAAGTGACCGAGGACCCAAAGGCGAAATGGGAGGCTTCCCCCTTTTTGCCAGCGCCTCCCAGTCCCTTGCCAACTGCCTGCTTATCCCCACGCGGGTCCCAACGCCATTTCCCCTTCCACCGCCAAAGCTGACCCGCTGAGAAGTCGGAAAAAGGGAGAGCGAGCAGAGCCGGGCCAAAGACTATTCATGTCCACGTGGCTGACGTTTCTCACGGCGGTTTGTCCGGCGTTTCCCGAGGCAGCTGTGAGAGAGCCCGGACCCCGCGCGGAGCGGGCTTTCGGTAGCTCGGCGCTGATTGGCTGCCGAGCCCCGTCGGGAAGAACCCGGATGTGCCCGTGCAGTAGCGTCGGCAGTCGGGTCAGCGCGGGTCGGGCAGCCCCGAGGTGAGGTATGTCGGGGCGGATGGCGCAAGGTTGGGCCGGCTTTTCTGAGGAGGAGCTGAGGCGGCTGAAACAGAATAAAGGTAACGGCGCGTGCCTGCCAAGGCTCGACTCTCATCCGTCGGGAGAAGGGGCGGGCCTGAAGCGTTTGCAGAGGAACGGGGCGAGGGAAAGGACGTCTTCTGTGGGAGAAGGGGCTTTTAGGGTGACAGGATTGAGGTGCCCGGGGGTGGGGTGGGGGGTGCAGGTACGTGGAGCTGCGAGAGGAGAAGCAGGCTCCTCAGGGCACTGGGATCTACTTTTAGGATACAGAGTTACGGGATCCATTTCCAAATCTGTCACTTTCTCCTATGAAGGGGGGGATTTGAGAGGGATTTCGGAGAGGATTTGAGCCTGAAATCTGGGGGCCTTTATTAGGGACTGGTGTGAGAATTGGGCAAAGAGGAGGGGTAGACACCAATTAGAAGAATTGCGATTGACATAGAAGCAAGTAATGACTCAGGGGGTGGGGGGGGGTGAAGCCCAAAACTTTGGTATTTTACATAGTATACCTGGATTAGTGCATTCATTTCCAGGTGCTGTTATTTTAAAATGTTTATTGTGAATAGGTGAAGGGTTACAGAGCAGATCATCAGTTTTATGTTCAACATCTCACCAAGCTTGTTAGGTCTTGCCTCCTTTCCATACTTTTCTTCATTTCCATCATTTTTTTTTTTTTTTTGCCTGTCTCCCGCTTACTGAATCTTGCCTTCCCCCTTTACCAAGTTAACATCTCTCTGCCCTCCTGCTTGTGGCCTCCCCTCCCCTCTCCCCATCATTGCCATCAAAGTCTGTTTCTTTCAGTGTGTAAACCTTTCTGGACTCTTTATAATAGTGGTTTTCACTAGGCATGATGTCATCCCCCTGACACACACAATACTTGTTATAAGGTGTTGGTCAGGTTCGTTGTAATACTTTAGAATTGCACAGTGTTTCAATATGGGCTTATGTACCAAAGTTCATCCATTCTTCTACATAAGGACATTTAGGTTCCCATCTTTTTTGCTTTTGTGACTTGTCCTGCAGTGAACATGCATATAGTTAGCCATAGTATGGCTCTTATTTCTTTACAATATATACTGTGTAGAGGAATTGCTAAGGAGCTCTGGTGGCATAGTGGTTGTGCTTTGGACTGCTAACTGCAAGGTCAGCAGTTTGAAACCACTAGGCCACTGAGGGACAAAGGCAAGGCATTCTACTCCCTTAGAGAATGACATTCTTGGAAACCCACAGGAGTAGTTCTACCCTGTCCTGTAGGGTCTCATGAGTTGCATTCTACTTCATGGCAGTTAGTGTGAGGGTTTGACAGTGTTTGCTGGGCTTTAGAGTAATTCTCTTTCAATAATTTAAGGAAATAACCATACCACTTTCCATACTCATAGATATTTACAGCCCTACCAGCAATGTATGAAAGTTTCAGTGTCTCCACATACTCACCAGCATTTGCTGATTTCTGTCATTTGGAACTTTGCAATCGATGCTGAGATGAGGCTTTATCTCATTGTTGGTTTGATTTGCATCTCTCAATTGGGTGATGAGCATGAGCATTTCATCATGTTTGTTGGTTGCCTGAATGTCTTTGATGAAGGGTCTGTTCATGTCCTTTGCTCATTTTTAAATTGGATGATTCATCATTTTCTTGTTGAGGTGTTGATTATTTTCTACAGATTAATTTAGAGTTTCGTCTCTTTTCCCCCAATCTGTAGGTTCTTTTTTATTCTTTTGGGTGAAGTCTTTTGATGCACACACATGTCTTATATTTAGGACATCCTAGCCATCTATTTTGCCTTCTGCTGTTTTTTTTTCCCAGTTATGCTTGATAGTGTGTTTGTGCTATGTATCAGGGCATATCAAATGAAATATTCCATCGAGTTGATAAAGCATCCACCTGTCTGTGCAAGACACTGGAAGAAACTGAAAGTGATCCATATTTGTGCCCATTCCAAAGAAAAGTGATACAAGAACACACAGAAATTATCCCCCCAAAATCATTAATATCATTTTTAGGTAAAATGTTGGGGAAGATAATTCAACAATGGTTACAGCAATACATCAATGGGGGAGCTGCCAGAAATTCAAGCTGGATTCAGAAGAGGACATGGAATGAAGATATCACTGTTGATATCAGATAGATGAAAACAGAGAATACCAGAAAGATGTTTACATGTATTTTATTGACTGTGCAAAGGTGTTTAATTGTGTAGACCATAACAAACTATGGATAGCTTTTAGAAAAATAGGAATACCAGAACACTTCATTGTGCTCTTGATAGCATGGACCAAGAGGCAGTTGTTTGAAAAGAATAATTTTCATGGTTTAAAATCAGGAAAAGTGTGCATCAGGATGTATCCTCTTATCATAATTATTCAATCTGTATATTGATCAAATAATCAGAAAAGATGAACTATATGAAGAATGCAGCACCAGGATTGGAGGAAGGTTTATCAGTAACCTGTGACAGATAATGGAAAGTAGTTGAGAGGCAGCAGAGACCAAATTAGTTGAATTAGAGCAAACAGGCTTTATTGGGGAGAAAAACCCAGCCTGGGCGAAGTCCCAAGGTCCACAATGTCTGGGCTGAGGGAGTCGCACCATAGGCTACAGGGGTGGTGTTTCTATGGCCAGGGAGCATGTGATTGGGCTGTCTTGAGTCCATATAAGGTAAAGTAGTCAGAGATTGGGAGATACAGGTATGTCTGGGTTCCTGGAATGTAATGTGTCTTCCTGGTTCCGGGTGTATTCCTGCCTGGTGCAGAGCGATGGGCCAAGAACAAAGCGAGCCATTAGCCAGCTCTGGTCAGCTCCGCACGGGTGGGGGAGATTCAAGGTTACTCGCTGCTAGAAGCTGGCCTGGTATTGATCCTGCCATACAGATATATAGTTAACATAACCTTGCTTGCTAAAAGTGAGAACTTGGAGCACATTTTGATGAAGATTGAGACCTCCAAGCCTCAGTATAAATTCAGTATAAAGAAAATAAAAAATTTTTACAGCTGACCGATGAACAATGTCATGATAAATGAAGAAAATATTGAAGTTTTCAAGAATTCCATTTTGCTTGGACCTGCAATCAATGTTCATGGAAACAGGACTCAGGAAATCAAGGGACGGATTGCATTGGGCAAACCTACTGCCAAAGACCTCTTTAAAGATTGAAGTTGAATAAGAATGCCAGGTGCTTCTAATCCAAGCCAGTACTTTCCATCTTCTTATATGCACGCAAGAGTTGGACAATGAATAAGTAGACAGATGAAAACTTGATGCTTGAATTATGGTGTTGGTGAGGAACTCTGAAACTACATTGGACTGCCAGAACACCAAATAAATCTTCCTTAGAAGAAATACAGCCTGAAAGCCCCTTCAAAGTGGGACTGGCAAGACTTTATCATAAGTACTGTGGCATGTTATCAGGACAAACTAGTTCCTGGAAAAGGACCGTATTCTTGGTAAAGTAGAGGACAATGAAAAAAAGGAAGATCGAGATAGGCTGACACAGTAGCTACAACCATAGACTCAAACATACATAGCAAGTTGTGAAGATGGTGCAGGACCGGGCAAACAGTCGTTGTGTTGTACATAAGGTCACTGTGAGTCAGAGCTGACTTGACAGCACCTAACAACAACAGCATGGCTCCCAAGTTGTCCCTATGTTTGTGTTGATGAGCTGTATAGCAATATATTTTACATTTATGCCTTTAATCCATCTTCAGCCCATTTTTGTTTATGGAGTGAGGTATGAGTTCTGTTTCATTCTTCAGATGGACATCCTGTTTTGGTATTACAGTTTGTTAAAGAGGCCATCTCTTCTTCACTTAACGTATTTCAGCCCTTTGGCAAAAATCTGTTGTCTATAGGTAAATAAATTTACATCTCAGATTTCTATTTTATTTTATTGGCCTATGTATTTATTAATGTATTCAGTACTAGGCTCTTCTGAAGAAGCTCTGGTATTACCAGAGCTGGTAGTAGGTTTTGAGATCAGGAAGGGAGAGGGCTCCTACTTTTTTCATCTTCAGTAGGGCTTTGCTTATTCTGGGTCTCCTTCCTTTCCCTATAAAGTTGATGATTAGTTTTTTTCATTTCTTTAAAGAATGATGCTGTGATCTGGATTGGGATTGCATTATGTTTAAAAATTGCATTGGGTAGTACCGACATTTTCACATGCTCGTAGTCCTATCCATGAGCATGGTATATTCTTCCACTTCTGTGGGTCCATGTTAATGGGAATGATGCCTATCTTTTTCAATAAGGAAGGTTTTTGTAATATCCTTGTAATCTTTCCTGCTGGACTAATGAGGAAACTGAGTAGTAAGCAACCATAAGATTATGTGGTGATACAGGTTGTAAACAGCTTGCTGCAGAGCTAGGAGGAATTTTACTGTTCTCGAGGCTATGAGGAGCTTGGGAATAAAACATAACAAAGGTTATGTGTAACTGGAGTGGGTTTTCCAATGGGAATAGGATTTGATATATAGAAGTGTAAGTTAAAATAAATTGTTGAAATGGAACTATATTTAAAAATAGGCACATTGCTGCTGATGTCATTTGGGTCTTGGCTGAAAGCGGAGAATACCAGAAAGACATTTTTGTGTGTTTTATTGACAATGCAAATATGTTCAACTTTGTAGATCATAACAAATTACGAATAACATTGCAAAGGATAGGAATTCCAGAACAATTGTGCTCATGCAAAACCTGTACCTAGACCAAGTTGCTTAATAAACAAGGAAATACTGTGCGCTTTAAGGTTGTATCCTTTCACCATACTTATTGATGTGTATGGTACACAAATAATCTGAGAATGTGAACTATATGAAGGATTCGGTGTCACAATTGGAGGAAGACTAACAGATACTTAGGTGGCAACAACTTTGCTTGCTAAAAGTGAAGAATTTCAGCACTTAACTTAAATTTTTTGTTAAGATTCCACATTAACAAATAACTTCACAGATAGAACAATAAGCAGCATCATAAGTAGAGAAAATATTTACATTCTGTAAGAGTTAATCTTACTTGGATCCACAACCAATGCCCATGGAAGCAGCAATCGGAATCAAACAAATTGCAATGAGCAGATCTGCTGCAAGAGACCTTTTTAAACTGTTACAGACAAAGATGTCACTTGGAGGACTGGGGTGTGTCTGGCCCAAGCTGTAGTGTTTCCACTTGCCATTAGGCATCTGAAAGTTCAACCGTGAGTAAAGAAGACTGGAGAGGAATTGATGCCTTTGAATTATTGTGCCAGAATGCTTCTTAGAAGCAAGAATGGTGAGACTTCATCTCCTGTACTTTGGCCATATTATCAGGAAGGACCAGTCCCAAGAGAAGGACCTGATCTTAAGTAGAATGTCAGTGAAAAAAGAGTAAAACCCTCAATTAGATGAAATGAAAAAGTGCCTTCAACATTGGCTCAAGCATATCAATGATTGTGATGATGGGACAGGAGCAGGGAGTATTTTATTCTGTTGTGAATTGGGTCATTGAGTAAAAATGGACTCAGTGGTACCTAACGTCATAGAAGGCTTCAAAATTTTGTGTGGGAAAACTCCATTATCTTTTAAGTCCAATTTCCCACAACATTTTTGAAGCTCCCTTGTATTTTAATATATCCTGAAAATGGGATAGAGAGATGATGAATAAGGACCTGAGTTTCAGGCCCCTGGTTTGGTAGAGAGACTTCATGAATAGATAGATGGCCACTGTGAAGGCAGAAAACATTTTACCATGTGTATATATTCATAGCTAGTGTTTTGCATATGGGCCTCTTAACACTGCTTTAAATCTTTATGCCTTGGACTTCTTATTTGTAAAACAAGAAGAATTGAATAATTTAATACTTAGGCCCCATCACCTGTTCTGCAACCTTAAAAATATAATTAAGCCATCTAGAAAGAGGGTTGCCAACAAAATCAAGGTTACAATACTGTAGAGAAACTCATGTGCATTGGAAAACATGACAAAGAAAGTTCTTAGCAGTATTGTTTATATTGAAAGGTAGAAAGGGCCAAGTGTTCATTTACAAGAAAGTGACATTGTGTGGACTGCTATAGCTAATGAGTATATGGACTATATTTGCATGCATCAATGCATAAGCATTTCATAATTTTATGAAAAGTAAGTTGCAGAAAAATATACATAGTCTGACCATTTATATAATATCGAAAACATAAAATTGATTATATTCTTTTAGGGATATAGGGAAATCATAAAGAAATTCAAGAGAATGAAATATGAAGTTCAGATTTGTGGAGAAGCTTCCAAAAGTTCTTGGAAAAATTCCATTGTCTTTTAATTCCATTTTTCCAAGAACTCCTTGAAGCCCCAACACCCCTTATCTTGAAGATATTTGTAATTATGAAATCAAATTGAGCCTAATAAATTCGCAGTAGCAAATATCCCTGGAATACCAATGGTTTAAAATAACAAAGGTTTATTTTTCATCCTCATTTCATGTTTAGCATGGTTTGGCAGGTGACTCAGCCCTACATGGTCACTCTGCTGAAGTGGTCATATCAGAGTTCACCATGACAGAAGGAGAGGAAGTTTGAGAATTGAACATTGACAATTAAATGTTTCCATAAGTAAGTGATATATGTCACTGTTCTTAACATTTCATCAAACGAAAGCTAATCATATTATTTGTGAATCAGGAAGTGGCGTTCTCTTATATGTCCTAAAAGGGGAAAGTTTCTATCCTTGAACAATAGTAAGTCATGTTTTAGTTCTTATGTTTTCAATCACTTATGCACACTAGAGATATACACACAAACATTTAAAGGCATTTACATAGACATGAAAGGGGCTTCAAAAAGTTTGTGGAAAATTTCCACTACCTTCTAATTATATTTTTCCATGAGCTTTGTAAAGCCCCTCAAAACATGTCAGTGACAAAGAGGAAGACCCTCAAAGGGATGGATCGACGCAATGGCTGCAACAGTGAACTCAAACCTAATTATGAGGATGGCACAGGACTGGGCAGTGTTTCCTAGGGTCTATGAGATGGAACCAACTTGATGGTACCTAACAACATGTGTAACATAAGTCTTAATATATATTAATATCCTAAACTAACATAAATATACTGAACATGTGTATAGATGTTCACACATTTTATGTATGATCTATTTCATAATAAAAAAATTATAAGTAAAAATGATGGAATCGCGCTGTCAGCGTCAAGTTACATAGAATATTCTCTATTCTTGGTAATAGTTCTTTGCCAGTTATATTATAAATTTCATCTTTGGCATTGGTTCCTGAGGGATAATCTAAAACCTAGGAATTTGGCCATTGAGTTTTTGTTGCTTTTGATGTGAGTGTTGGATAGATACGGGCCATGCTAGAAAGATCCACCAGGTAGTAGCCCCTCTATGTCAGGGGAGGGATGTTGGAGCTTGAATGTAATCACTTGGATAATGCGCCACACAATCATATCTGTGTAGTGAAACAAACAGACTCTGAGAATGAAGCTCAGTTTTATTTCCTAGCTTCCTGGCTAATACATCAGTACATAGGAAAGCTGTAAGTGTCCTCTGAGGTATGAAGTTGAAATGGTGACCCTCCAAATCTTATCCTATATGTCTCTTCATTTGTACCCTTTTTGCTATGACTGTAATCGTAAGTAGTGCTCTCCTGAGTTCTATGAGTCATTGAACCACTGAACGCAAGCTAGGTCAGAGATGAGGGTGTCATGGAGGATCCTGAGTTTTTTACTGGTTTCTGATGTCTTGGGCAAACTTGGCTGTCTGGAGGACTGTATCTTTGCCCTTATGAAGTGTGAACTGGCTCCTGTGGTTAGGGTCAGGACAATGGCATTTGCTGTTGGTATCAGGAAGATATTTAGAGTTGGTCTCTAGGCAGATAGATACCATGTAACTTAGTTTATTGCTTGTTTCACTTTATCTTTCTAATTTACAAATTGTTCAATTATACTATGGACAAAGTTGCCAGTTTTTGTATTCCCCACAAGAACACTTTACATGGATTAAGGACTTAAACATCACATTAACATTTTAAATCTCTTTGTTTGTAAAATACATTGTTTTACGCAGTCTATGAATCCACTGTATCTTATAGATGATTTTTAAAAACTCTTACTAAAAAGTAAGGAGCACGGTAGTACAGTGTTTAGGTGTTGGGCTGCGATCAGCACGGTTGGCAATTCAAAACCATCAACAGTTCTGAAGGACAAAGACTGGGGTTTCTATGCCCTTAAACCAGTTACAGTCTCGGACACTCACAGGGGTTCACTGTGAGTTAGCATTGGCTCAATGGCAATGGGTTTGGGTTGTAGTTTCAGTAAAAAAGAAATATGAATATATGTTAGATCTTATGGAAGAAGAGTGATAATGGAAATGTTGACTATAAAAAACAAAAAACTCCAGATGGGACTTTGATTGGAATTCCCTTGGATCCATAGATCGATTTGGAAAGATTTGACATTTTTATATTGTCTTATTTTTTACCACCATCGTTCATGTCTTCATTTACTTAGGTCATCTATAATATCTCTTAGTAAAGTTCTAGAATTTTTCCATTAAAGATCTTAAACACTCTTATGTTAAATTTATTCCTAGATTCTTCATAGTTACTGGTATTGCAATAATCACTTACTCACTGCAGCAGAGTTGATGCCGAATCATAGTGACCCTGTAGGACTTGGTAGCCCTGCCCCAGTGAGTTTCCGAGACCAAATCTTTTT